CACATGAGGACCCCCGTCGAGACAGTGGGTCACCTGAGCACAGAGGAGGGCCCCACTGATTCTATCTGGGAGGAGGGACATTTGAACTGGACACTGAAGGCTGGGTCACATTTCTGCAGGACAGGAGAGAACAGCCAAAGGACCTTGTTCAGAGGTCACAAATCCTCCCGGGGCTGGGGGCGGGGTAGGGGGAAGGATGACAGGTGACGATGGACATGTAGGTGGGACGTCGGCAGGTACATTGAAGGCACTGAGCTTTATCCTGTGGGCAGAGGCGAGTGGGGAACATACATAATTTTTTCTGGATTATTGGAAACAATATACCTTTGGCATAAAAGCCAGAGAAACAGAAAAAAGTATAAAGAAGAAAATTAAAGTCGCTGATATGCCAACTACCCAGAAATAACTACTGGTAACATTTTAATGTTTTCCTTTCAGATTCTTTCTTGTAAAGAGATCTTTAAAATGAGTGCAAGCATGATAGCTACAATATGTGATAAATAGGCTTATTAATAAAGCAAAATGCATATTTCATATTAGAACATATTCCAAATTCAGTGAATATATAGATAAATCTACAAATTATTTTATAATAATTTAGTATAATAAGGTGCTTTTTAAAAATACATAAGTAAGGTAGAGGGTACAGCTCAGTGGTAGAACACATGCTTAGCATGCATGAGGTCCTGGGTTCAATCCCCAGTCCCTCTATTTAAATAAATAAATAAATAAACCCAATTTCTTCCCCCATCAGAAAAATTAAAAAAAATTGTAATGGATAAAAAAACTAAATCGAGATGTTATAAAGGGAAAGGTTAATTTTTATTTATTTGTGTGCTCCATAATTCAAAAGGCACAAGAGGGTATATAGTGAAAATGTCCCTTTCACCCCATCCACTACGATCTAGCTCCCCTCCTTGGACTCAGTAAATGTTATAACCTTCCAGGAATTCTATGCATAGGCAAGAAGATAAACACATATTATTTTGTCCCCAATTTACACAAATGTTACACAAGTGTTAGTCACTTTTTCTGCATCCTTCAGTTTTTAATTAGTATATCTTAGATACCACTTCCTATGAATACATAAAATTTTTCTCATTTTTATAGCTATATAATATTCCATCATATGAATGTATTCTAAAGTATTTAACAAGACTCTACTAATAGTCATTTGGGTTGTCTATGATTGTTTGTGTTTATAAACAGTGCTGCAATAAACAGCTCTGCGTATAAGTCATCTTGTACAAGTACACCCCTGTGTGCAGGGTAACTTACCAGAAGTGCAATTACAGGTCAAGGGGCAGGTACAGTTATCATTTTGATGGATATCGTCAAACAGCCCTTTGTAGAGGCGATACTTACTGCTTTAAAATGTCCCTCTTTTGATGTAAATGAGAGATGAAATTGGGTCTGAATTTAGAGTGTAAGGAGGCTGGATTAGAGGTGGGCAGGCAGGGACCAGTTAGGAGGCTGCAGCAATAGTACAGGAGAGACCTGTCTGGAACTGAGCTGTGCGTCAGGACCACTGGCAAAGGATCTGGAGATGTGAATTCAAAAACGTGCTGGACTTAGAACTGACAGGACAGAGACACAAATTGGCATTTGGTGGCCAACAGGCACACAAAAAAATGCTTAATAT